TGGAAAATACAGTTATCACCTTTCAAGTTTGCATCAATTTCACATTTGGTTTCTTATGTTTTAAAAAATCAACATTTTTAGTCATTTTCGTCAAATTTCCATTTAAATTAACGGAATCAAGGGTGTGCCCATCACTGCCTTAACTAGCAAACTAATGGTAAATTGACAGAAATAACGAAAATGTTAAACTATTGTAACATGAGGGACCAAATGTATTTTTTGTTAACATAGGAATCAAAAGTGAAATCGGTGCAAACTTGAGGGATAAAAACTGTAATTTCCCCCAAATTTATTTATAAATTACATTTTTAGTCATTCTCGTCAAATTTCCATTTAAATTAACGGAATCAAGGGTGTGCCCATCACTGCCTTAACTAGCAAACTAACGGTAAATCGACAAAAATAACCAAAATATTAAACTATTGTAACATGAGGGACCAAATGTATTTTTTGTTAACATAGGGACCAAATGTGAAATCAGTGCAAACTTGAGGGGTAAAAACTGTAATTTCCCCCAAATTTATTTATCATCCAACTTAACCCCAACTTCCCCAATTTATAACAGAATCCGAAGTTTTCTGACCAAAAATGATAATACACTTATTTCAATGTTATTTTTTAATGCAAAAAAAAAAAAGAAAAAAAATCCTGGAGTTGAAAAAGAATAGTGCAAGTGGCAGGTCAAAGAAAACCATATGTTAACTCATTTGAATTTTTTTTTTCAAGAAAAAAATGAAAACCAAAGGTATAAGTTACATCAACAAGCATACAATACATACATAGACACATATATATATATATATATTCAAACGACGAAGAAGCACAATATCCAGAAAAGGAAGAAAAAGAAAAAAGGGTTAAGGTTTAGCTAGAAAGATTTGGAATACAAACACCAGCATCAGGATTCTGTTGTTCCTTCCAGATTCTTCCGGTAACTCTGAGCTTAAGCTCCTTTCTCTCTCCACCGGAGAAGAAAAGAGCCATGTTCCGTTGTATAACGAGACCGTCGTGGCTATCTCTCACTTTACGGTGACTATCCCTTATGCTACGTGGGGTCCCCTCCCATATTAGCTTTCTCCCGTTCGCTCCTACCTCTAAGCTGTAGCTGTAGTTTCTTGCATCATTTTCGTCTCCCATAAATCGCAGGAACGCCATGTAGACTGGCGCCATTCCCAGTTGAAACGCTTCGAAGTGGAGGCAGAAATATTGCCCGAAACAATTGAACACCTAATCCATAAACATTTTTCGTAACAAGATTACAAGATTGAATTTTTTGAAACAGCTAAAACTCGGCCAAGAATCAAGAAAAAGTGTTTATGAGTCTTGGAGATTCTGTGCTGTAAGTACAGTTTAACTAGAACTTTCTTAAATGAAATCACACGAGGACGGAAATAATGACAAATGCAATGAAGAAATGGCGTTAAAAATTACGAGTCTGAATGATAAACTGTCCTTTTATTAGTTTAGAGGATTTAGTACTTACCAAGCCAATTTCATAGGAGAGTGTCAAATTCTTCGATTAATTTAGTCCAGCGTTTACTCGGGATTTCATGGAAAAGCTGAAGTACTATAAACCCTATCCTAGTTTGATAATATAACAAGGATATTTTACACATTTACACACTGGCCATTTTTTAAGGAATCGCAAAACCCGATTTTTTTATAAACTACAAAAATTCAGCAATTTCCATACTAAGCCAGGCTATTAGGAGTAAACAAAGGCTATATTGGAAAAAAAAAACTCACTGTTAACATCCAGGTGGCGTTTTCCACTTCGCGGGGGTTTGACTTTACGTAGCGGTGGTTGAAGGTACAACCTGTGTGCATGTCCACTTTGTGGTCGTCTCTTAAATGGGCAACCAGATAAGGGATGTCGCCTGTTACCGCACACTCTGATCCAGCGTATGGGCAATTGTACGGTCTGAAATTGCAAACTGCCTCGTGTTTGAGTTTGCTGTAGTATGGGAAGATTTCCGAGCATCCTAACGATAAGTACTTGCAGGGAAGATTCAGTGACTCTGCAACTTTTTCTAATGCCAAGCACCTGATATCGCCTAGCTCTTGTCTGCATGTAGGGCACCGATTGTGCACCCTTGTCTTGCATGTCGAACACAGAGTGTGCCCATTATGACACTACCAAAACAAAAAAAAAAATTAAAAATGAGGTCTTTATAGTACGGGAGGAAAGATTCGAGAAACAAATGTTTATTTGAATCCGTTTTGTTGTATAAGATACTTCTTATAGTGAAACTTTGTAAGATTAAATTTCGACTTCCCTAGTTTTAGACACTAATTCAAGAACCAGAATGCAGTTAATGACTTAATTACAGAATCAACTGTGACAGCTTCTTAAGAGTACCGAAATGAATATTTCTATTATTTTTTTTTTTGCTTTTCTCGAATTAAGAACATCTAGGATTTTACGAGATGAGAACGCGAAATCGCATTGCATGCACAATAACTCAACCTTGAAGCCCTTATTTCCCTCACAACAAATCACATTGGACGAATGAATCATCACACAAAACATGCATCAAATGGCACAGATAATTGGAGCAATGCATCTCAAGAAAGCAAAACAAGCGTAGAAACACGAACAATAAGGACAAAGGGGCGTGTATGTATAGAGAGCAAACCTGATGGATGGGTGGGTACATTGAGTTAGTGCAAACGGGGCATTCCAGTAATTCATGGACGCTCGTGGGGCCGATTCCAGCGGGGGCCACACTATGAGGTTTCGAAGAAGAGTGATGATTGTTATGAGGATGTGAAGAAGACTGTATCTCTTCTTCATCCTCAATTCCATCCGATAAAGACACACACTCCACACTTTCGATTTCAACTGCTGCCATTTTCAAATTCTGCCCAATTTCTCCAACACCCAATCCTAAGATCAAACCCCTTTTTTTTTCCCTCCAAAAAATATATATAGGCCCTTCTAGAAATCTATATATAATTGTCAGTAAAATGTGATACAATACAATACACTCTTCCCAAATTCAATCTTCTGTGCAATTTCAAAACTTCCAGAAATTCAATCGTAGGGTTTCCCACTTAGAAAAAATTGACAGAAATCTGCGAAATACAAATCTTCGAGACCACCGACCTTCTAGTCAAAATTCAATCTCTTGAAACAAATATCAAAAGCCCAGCTGCAGAAATTTAATCGTCCGGGGAAATACCTGGTTCCGACGGAGAAATATTTTGATCTTCGACAGAAATCTGAGATGCCCAATCCCGAAAATGCTATCTTTCATCGATTTAGGGCGTAATTCCGTTTTTCAATTTTGTTTTTTCAAATATCCTCTCTATATATTTTTGTTTTTCCTTCACTTTCTTCTGAAAGCGAAGGAATCTGAAAGAAAATGGAAAGAGAGAGAGAATGAGAGAACCGATTAAAAATGAACCTACCTAAGGAAGGATCATTCCCTGGAAAGGTACGTTGCTTCTCTCTCTCTCTCTGGTTTATAAGAGGAGAGAGAGAAAACGAGGATCGCCGTTGATTTTGAAATCATTGGTATTAGGTTGTTAATCCCACGGTTGTAATAACTAAGGTATTTTTGTTTTTCTTGTTTATATATATTATTATTATTATTAATGCCAATTAATTAAATAAATAAAAAATAAACAGAATCAGGGGTTTTGTTCTGCATAGTGTATAGTCAGCCATGAATTAGTTAAGGGCAAATTAAGATACGGTCAAATTACGAAAAAATCCATGTTGTTTGGGTAATTATAGTTATCCGTCCTTTTAAATATTTTTATATAAAATTTATATAATTCAGTTATTTACCGAAACAAATCGTATATTCAGTTCGGTAAACGGTATGAAATGTTGGCGTACCGAAATTTCGATTCGGTTTTCCGATTTAAAATCCCTAAATTTACCTCTGGAGGGGTATTTTCGTAATATAATACATAGTTAAGGGGTAACTGTAATTACCCAAACAAGAGAGAGTTTTTCATAATTTGACCATAACTCAGGGGTGGCCGTAATTTGCCCAATTAGTTAAATGCATTCAAAATTCAAACCTGCTTAATTGTTAATTAGAGGTTGGAGAAGCGTCGTTTTCTCTCGTTTACGTTTACTCGATTTTGACTTGATCAATGTATGGAGAGAACAAAACGCGTAGAAAATTCTTCGAAAAAGGCATTATTCTACTACAAACGTCGCGAGGCCGAAAATCAAATCAAATTACTCGATTTATTTACACCCCCTAACAAACATGTGAAATTGTCTTTAATTTCACCATGCAGAAAATAAACTGTTGAAACATAGCCATTAGTGTCTTCGATCGGAACTCGATCGAAGCATAAATTGTACAACCAAGGATCTAAATAATACAAA